GTGTGTGTTTAACTTTATGAAAAACTGCCAAACGGTTTTTAAAAATGGCTGCACCATTTTATTTTCCCACCAGCAGTATATGGGAGTTCTAGTTCTTCCACATCCTCACCAACACTTGGTATGGTCAGGTGTTTCTTCAGTTTTAGTCGTAGTGGATGCAAGTGATATCTCATTACGGTTTTAATTTGCTTTTTCTTAATAACTCATTAAAGTTTGAGCATGTTTCATATGTTGATTGACCATTTTGGAATCCTCTTTATTTTATTTAAAAAAATTTTTTTAATCCTCTTTTATGAAGAACCTATTCTTGTCTCCTGTCTGTTTTTATATTGAGTGGTCTTTTTCTTATTAATTCTCTGCTCATTTTTCACTCACTCATCTGTTCACCTTTGTGCTTGCTTGCTCGCTTGTGCGCTCTCTCTCTCTCTCTCTCTCTCTCTCACGCTCGCACACTCGCACACTCACTCACTCATTGGCTACTTCACTCACCCCATCACCTACACTTGCCTTCTTTTATTCCACATTTACTGAATACCAGACATTCACAGCATTACTTATTGTTCTATGTCAGGTCCGCACACATTATCTTGTATACATATGTTCACTCTAGAATCCAGACAGCTACCCCACTTCTCAGATGAGGAAACTGAGGCATGGAGAGGTTATGAAGCCCACCTTACATGGGCCCTCAACTCTTGCACATCCAAGTTCCTTTTCTTGCCTTTATTCTTCATGTATGTCTCTTACCTTCTTCAGGGAAAGAGTATGCCAAAGGAGACAGCCGATACATCCTGTAAGTATTTGCCTCCATCAAGGGAGACCTCCATTGATTGGGGTGGGGGGTGAGTCGGGGAGTACTCATGGGGTGCCCTGTGGGTAGAGCACAGTGATGCCAGTGTTCCCCAACCCTTTCTCCCCCCACAGGAGTGACAACTTCACAATATGCATGGAGACCATCACAGCTTGCCTTTGGGGACCACTCAGCCTATGGGTGGTAATCGCCTTTCTCCGCCAGCAGCCCCTCCGCTTTGTCTTACAGCTCGTGGTCTCTGTGGGTGAGGAGAGGGCCCACACTGGGTGCTGGAGGGGTTGATGGGGGATCCACAGACACAGGGTATCTCTGCAGGGAGCATCGCTCAGTTGTGCCCATCCAGGGCTGAGTCAGGCTGAATGACATCCTCCTGAGGTTCTGGAACAGCCATGACCCTCTCGGTCTGTGTTCTCAAGTGGGAAAGGTTCATTTCCCCCTCCTCCTCCTTCATCACAGCGTCTCCTGTGAAGGTTATATGAGGTGGCGGGAAGCCCCTGGATCCTCCAGGGTTAGGATTCTGAGCTCCCTTCATCTGGCATTCAGTCCTCTTGTGTTCTTACATTGCTAGCTTTCTTTAGTTCTGGAATCATGCGCTGTCTTGAATTAAAGGATTTTGAGCTTCCTTAAATTCTGGAGATGGGAACTCTCCTGAGTTGAGAAATTCTCAGCTTCTGATTTCTGGAATTCTCACTTTTCTAATTCCTCAGATTTTCAGCTATATGATTTCAGAATTCTTAGCTCTCTAAATTTGGGAATCCTGAGCTCTGAGACCTTGAATGATGACTTAGAAAATGCCTTGGAATACCTTTTCCTCCTGACTGGGTTTCCCCTTCCCCTTCTGCCTCCCACAGGTCAAATCTATGGGGATGTGCTCTATTTTCTAACAGAGCACCGGGACGGATTCCAGCATGGGGAGCTGGGCCACCCACTCTACTTCTGGTTTTACTTTGTCTTCATGAATGGCCTGTGGCTGGTGCTGCCTGGAATCCTCGTGCTCGATTCTGTAAAGCAGCTCACTCATGCCCAGAGCATGCTGGACACCAAAACCACAATATCCAAGAGCAAGCTGAACTAATAAGTAGTAGGCTGGGCTTGAACACTGGACGATGAGGAACCCTCCACCAGGAAGAAGAGTTCAGTCCCATAGGTTGGGGGGACAAAGCAAATTGATCTGTCAAACTCGGGTTAATGGGTAAGCACCAGAAGGGCCAGAGGCAGGGACAAAAAAGGAGCTGTGTGGAGCTACGGCCAGGAGCCACTGGGACAAAGGTACAGAAGAAACTAGAAGGGCCATAATGGCGGCAGTTTTTAAAATCAGGAAATAAAAGATCTTGACCCTAACACTGAGAGATCTTTAATTACTAACCCCAGAGATGCCCTATGACTGACCCCACAAACCCCTCCCTCACTCACTCATTTCACAGACCACTGTTCTCTCAGCCATAGACCCCCCCCCCCATTATCATCACTTAGACCTCCAATCTATAACCTCACGGGACCCCACAGAGTCCCGTGATGACTAATTAGATCCACGAGATGCCCATTATCTCACACCCTCAGTGTTCTCTCCAGAACACACTTTCTCATTTTTTGTAATATGGACAGGCTGAGAACTCGTGTCTCCTGATCAGGTGCCCCACAGACACCCCATCAATAACTCCATAGATCTTTCCTCACTCACCTCAGACTCCCCCATTACTCCAAAGACCCCACCATCACTTACCCCACAGACACCCATCAGTACCCTAAAGATCCCCATCACTCACCCCAGAGACCCCAGAAAACTCACACAAGACCCATCACTCACTTCACATACCCCATAACTTACCCCAACAGGCCTCTAGTCATACACCCTACAACCCCATGACTCACCCCATAGACCCCCCTCATCGTGTATAACACAGACCCTCTCAGTCTCCCCACAAATCCCCTATTATTTACCCTATAGGCTGTCATTACTTACCCTACAAACCCCTCTAAACTCACCTTGCAGAATTTGTCACCTCATACCCCTCAGGTCCCCAATTACCCCACAGATCTTCCATCACTCACCCCGCATCCTATCCTGCAGACCACCTACCTATCATGTATCCACAGATTCTCATCATTCACCCCACAGATACCTCTCACCCTATAGACCCACCCCCGTCGCTCCTCCCTTAGTCTCTCTGTCATTAACCTCACAGACCTTGAGTCATAAAACAAATGGGTACTTGAGGAATTTTGAGGAGATGACAAAGAATGAAAAAAAACTGCAGATACCTGTAGACTGGCTCCTGGTGACCTGTACAGAGCAGGACTTCAATTCAAATCCTGGTTCTGCTCAAGCCTCCAGTATAGCTTTTGAGAAATGCCTCACTGTTAAAGCCAACGCCAGGCACAGCCACCTTCTGTCCATTGCACCTACTCTCTGTGCCACTTACTATCCCCTTGACCTTGAGCATGTTTCTCCCTGACCTTCAGTGCTCTCATATGTAAAATTCTAATTAGAGTACCTACCTCATTGGATTTTTATGCAGATTAAATGAATTAATATATGTAGACCACCTGGTATACACTTTGTATTTGTTGAATGGAAGAATAAATAAATGAAAGAGAAAGTTCTCCCCAGGACTATGATAAGGACCTCCTTTTTTGTTTCCTTGCTTCCAATAAGCAGTCTTTCCATCCAAGGCCCTCTCCACAACCAAGACAGGCATCTGACCACATTATACCCCCATTTAAAACCTGGGCTCCAGGGCCATCACTATTGAACTCCAGGCTAGTCTTTTGTTCATCCCACCCTATGTTAATTGTAATGAGAAGCAGACTCTCAAATTTCTTTCTTTTTTTTTTTTTAAGATTTTATTTATTTATTTGAGAGAGAGAGAATGAGAGACAGACAGCACGAGAGGGAAGAGGGTCAGAGGGAGAAGCAGACCCCCTGCTGAGCAGGGAGCCGGATGCGGGACTCGATCCCGGGACTCCAGGATCATGACCTGAGCCGAAGGCAGTCGCTTAACCAACTGAGCCACCCAGGCGCCCCAAATTTCTAATTTCCTTCAGAAAATCCAGCAGAGCCATAAGAAGTGTTTACTCAAGCACATGGGTCCGAAGAAATGTGCCAAAAACCCTTCTCTGGCTTTCAAAAAAAAAATTCCCCATTATTTATACCTTCTAAAAAATTGACATCTATCTAATATTAATACCAAGGAAACAAATTATTTAAAAAGATACCAGAATAGGGGCACCTGGGTGGCTCAGTTGATTAAGTGTCTGCTGGGATCGTGATCCTGGGGTCCTGGGATCAAACCCCGTGTTGGGCTTCCTGTTCAGCAGGGAGTCTGCTTCTCCCTCTCCTGCCCCTCCACCCCAGCTCGTGCTCTATCAATCTCTCTCTTTCAAATAAATAAAATCTTTTTTAAAAAGATACCAGAATAGAATTGCAGACTTCTCTAAAAAGTTAAGAGTAGCATTCATACAACACTGCAACAATAACTCAAGTCCAGTCATCTTACAGGACTCCTTTGTTAGAAATTACACTTGTAAGGGCAGTCTGTATTTTGTCCAGACCAGATGGGTATGCAATGAAGTGAGAATGCCTTCATGTATTTTGTGATTTGAGGAATCTATAAGATGTTCAATCATTCAGCTGATATTCAGTAGACATACACTGTTTAAATTTTTTTTTTTTTAAGATTTATTTATTTGACAGAGAAAGACACAGCGAGAGAGGGAACACAAGCAGGGCTAATGGGAGAGGGAGAAGCAGGCCTCCCGTGGAGCAGGGAGCCCGATGTGGGACTCGATCCTAGGACCCCGGGACCACGACCCGAGCCGAAGGCAGACGCCTAACGACTGAGCCACCCAGGCGCCCAACATACACTGTTTAATAACAGAACTGACCTCAACGTGTTGCGAGGATTAAGTAAAATGAAGGCAAACTTAAAAAGCTAGGACCTGGGGCACCTGGGTGGCTCAGTCGCTGGTCGTCTGCCTTCGGCTCCAGGGTCCTGGGTTCGAGCCCCACATTGGGCTCCCTGCTCAGCAGGAGGCCTGCTTCTCCCTCTCCCACTCCCCCTGCTTGTGTTCCCTCTCTCGCTGTGTCTCTCTCAAATAAATAAAATCTTTAAAAAAAAAAAGCTAGGACCTCCAGAGAGCCTAAAAATAGCTTTTTTTTAGTAAGTTATTTATTGAAATATATCATGCAGGGGCGCCTGGGTGGTTCAGTCAGTTAAGCATCTGCCTTCAGTTCAGGTCATGATGCCGGGGTCCTGGGATCAAGCCCCACGGTAGGGCTCTCTGCTCAGTGGGGAGTCCGCTTCTCCCTCTTCCTCTGCCCCTTCCCCTGGCTTATGCACTCTCTCTCTCGCAAATAAATACAATCTTTAAAAAAAAAAGAAATATGCAGACAGAAACTGCAAAAGTCATAAATGTGCAGCTCTATGAATTTTCACAAAGTGGAAACTATTTTTAAGAGATTCTGGAAAAGGATTATTTTCCATTCAGCAGACTCATTTGAAGCAAGGGCCACAGGCTTTTGAAATAGATGACATCATCTGTTAAGCAGAGGCACGAGGCAACTCGGGGCGGGATGTGGGGCCTGACGTCATCGCACAGCAGCTTCTTTTCCCCGCCCACTTCTCTCGCCTGAGTAGGTCGTCATTGTAATACGTAGGTGAATCGGGAATTATGCTGCCCAGACAACCGAACCGCAGGCTCGGGGAGGTGGGACCTCAGTGGGCGCCTGCGTACTGGTGGAAGTGAGGCACAATGCACCGCTTTTGGGGGCGGGACACCTGGGTAGAGCATCTTAAGCGCGTGCGCAGAGGCCATCTCCACCCTGTGCTGGGTGGGAGGGGCAGTGGGGGGGCAGGGTCGCACAGCGCCCTCTGCGCCTGCGCCGGGGCGCAAGGTGGGGCCGCGGGCGCCCGCACTGTGGAGTGCTCACAGAGGTGGGGGGCAACGGTCAACCGTCGCCCTGAGGCGGGTGGCGGCGGGATGGCGGCGGCCTCTGGATCCTCGGATTTGGCCGGCTCTGGAGCGCCCCCACCTGGTGGGGGAGCTCAGGCGGCGGCGGCTGAGGAGGAGGAGCGAGAGGTGGTACGGGTCCGAGTCAAGGTGAGGCTGACAGTTGGTTGGCCTGCCCTCCTGGGGTGCCCAGGGGAGGGGAAGGCGGTGACTCTCCCAGGTTGGAGGGCGGGACCCGAGATTTGGGGTGTTAACCTGAGGGGCGAGGCTTGAGGGCAGAGTGATAGTGGTGGGGACGAGCGGGGGGGGGAGGAGGCTGGACCTGGAAATGCTGGGCAGGGCCTGAGGACGTAGGGACTGAAGATGGAAGGGTAGGGGGCCTAAGGAATGGATAGGTGGAGATTATTGGTAGAGAGGAGGGGCCATAGGGCTGGAGGAGGGGCCTTAAATAGTTAAGGAGTGAGGGGGGCTGTTGGTGTCTGAAAAGGAGGTGCTGAAGTCAATTAACATGTATATTGAGACTGCACTTGTGTGCAGATTTACAGTCTCACCCAGGATGAGCTGACCTGCTTGTCGGGGAGACAGCTAAATAAATGAGATGCTTTGGACACTGGTGAATGTTGTAAGGAGATAAGGAAAAAGCTTCTGAACTAGGGAGTTACTTTAGCCAAGGTTGTAGCGGGAAGTCCCTAGAGAGGTATTGAAGGAGCAGAGACCCAAATACAAAAGGAGTCAGCCCTGTGCGTTTTGGAGGAAGAGTGGAAGCAGAGAGAACACCAAGGGCAAAGGCTAGGAGGTGGGGATGAGTTTGGCATGTTACCTTAGGTTCCCACATTGCTGAAGCGAGAGAGCAAGGGCAGGAGTGGGTAGGGGGTAAAACAATGAGGCGAAAGAGGGGCAGATTGTGAAGGGCCTTTGTTATGTATTCTAAGAAAGCTGTTGCCATAGCTCCAGCAAGTGGTCATGGTCGCTGAGACTAGAGTGGTGGCACTGGTGTTGGTGAGAAGGTAGATTCTGGAAAGAGGTAAACAGATTACCTCAGGGTAATACAGGAAGCTCTAAGGTCGAGGTTTGGGAATTCAGAAAAGAGATGATGGCCGAGCTGTGGGTGAGCCAGTTGGAAGAAAGTGGGAAGGACTTTCCAAACAGGGGGATCAGCACAAGCAAAGTCCTGGAGCCAGGATGTGTTCAAAGTAACTTCCAGCAGTTTGGTGGTACCAGAGTGTAAAGTTCAAAAAAGCTGACTGAAGAGAGGCTGGCCAGCGTCCTATAGGCCCACCTTCTGGGGATGCTGGGGTTGCCTTTGAAGAGATTTAAGCAGGGTAGTATTGTAGATAGATGTGCTAAATTGATGCAGCATGGAGTATTGATTTAACGGGGGCCAGACTGGACATGGTGATCCTGACAACCATCGTTGGGGGAACAAAGAAGGATTGGGTGCTTGGACCATTACAATAGCCTCCTCCTCACTGGACTGCTGTTTTCTCCCTTGCCCCCATAGTCTGTTCTTCTAAGAGCAGCCAGAAAGATCCTGTTAAATGCTAAGTCAGATCACATCCCTCCTCTGCACAGAACCCTCCAAGTCTTACCCCTCACTCAGAGCAAAAACCATGACCCAGAACACCCACCTCCATGTGCCCCTGCCCACAACTTACCTGACCTTGCCTCCTATCCCTCACTCCGCTTCAGTGTGGTGATGTGGCACCTGATGGCCCACCCTGTGTCTTCTCTCCCCAGAAGTGTGAGAGCTTTTTGTCACCTGAGTTCCGCTCTTTTGCCGTCGACCCCCAGATCACCTCACTCGATGTATTACAGCACATCCTCATCCGAGCGTTTGATTTGAATGGGTGAGTTATGGGATGCTGGGGGACCAACCATGGGGCCACCTACCTCAACAGTGGTTGTTTGGCTTTTTTGTTTTTGTTTGTTTCATTATTACAAATAATCCCACAGTGAACTGCCACATTTGCATATCCTGGGATATTTGGGGAAATCTAGTCATAGGATAAATTCCTAGCAGTGGTATTGCTGGGTTAAAGGGTGTATGCTTTTTAAAATTTCAATGGATGTTTCCAAAATGCTCTCCAGACAGGTTTTTGCCAATTTACAATCTCCCAGCAGCATATAAAATGCCTGTTTCCCTCAGAAACACTGGTTACTAGAAAACATTGGAAAATTTGCTGACCTGATGGATGAAAAGTGGTGTCTCTTGGGGACAGGTGTGATGGTTATTTTGTTGTGGTTGTTATTTTGGAGGAATACATGCACATAGTAACAAAATCAAAGAGTACACAAGTGATGTCTACTTAGGACGTTTCCCTGGTTACAGTAGTTACACAACATACTTCATCACACAATTGCTCAAGTGTATCTGAAGAACAAATTCTTAGTTGTTATTTGACTTTTTTGCATAAATATTTTTTGTTGTGAAAAATAACAAACACACAGCTTGCTTTATTTTTATGCAGTAGGAAGGCTGCTTTCTTCCCACTTCTATCCCTCAACTACCTGTCACCCTCCCTAGAAGGGATCAACATTTTAAGTTTTCAGTGTGCCCTCTAGATACAAGCAGGTGTGTATCCGTTTCTGTGTTTGTGTAACAAAGTAGAGGTAAACCATCTGACCTCAGGCAGCCCGAAATCCTTGGCACAGTACCCAACACATAGCAGAGAGTTGTTCAACATCATCTCTGCCTTCCCTGGCTTTTTGTGGAAACTGTCCCTGAGGCCTCCAGGGCTCTGGGGGCACGTGAGAGCTGCCACACCTCCTCTGTCCAGGAAGAAGAACTTTGGCATCAGCTACCTGGGCCGGGATCGGCTGGGGCAGGAAACTTACCTCTCACTCCTGTCTGACTGGGACCTCAGCACAGCCTTCACCACAGCCTCCAAACCTTACCTGCAGCTGCGGGTAGACATTCGGCCCACTGAGGACAGTGAGTACCTGGCTCCGGGCCCCACCCTTTCCCCATGGGATGACTCCCCCCATTACAATACACTCCTTCACAGTGGGCTTGAAAGGAAGAAGGTATCCTAGGTCCACATCCTGCCTTGGCCACTGGGCCTCGATTTCTTTACCTGTAAAGTAGAAATAATGGTATCTTAGGGCCATCATGAGGATTAAACAGGGAAATTCATGTAAAATGCCTGGAACAATGCATGGCTGCATAGTGAATGCTCAAAAAATATTAGCTCTAGGGGCGCCTGGGTGGCTCAGTCAGTTGAGCATCCAACTCTTGGTTTCGGCTCAGGTTATGATCTCAGGATCATGAGATTGAGCCCTGTGTTGGGCTCTGCGCTGAGTGCAGAGTCTGCTTGAGATTCTCTCTCTCTCTCCCCCCCCCCGCCTCACCCCCCCAAAATAAAAATATTTAAAAAATATTAGTTCTAACAATAACTTATATTATATTTATTATTATATAATCTAGTAATATAAGTTATAATTATATAATGCAGCATAACAATGGAAATGTAGTATTGTATGTTTCCATTATAATAACACCTAACTATATAATGCTGATTATAATAACGATGGTTGTATTCATTCATTCATTCATGCATCCTGCACTCATATTTGTTTGGACTCTTGCTCACTCACTCACTGTTCCCTTGATCTCTCAGCCACTTCCTCTCTTCTCATATTTGTTCCCTGACACTTATTTGTGTTGGTCCCTGGGAGCACACAGATAAATTAAGACATGGGCCCAAAAATTTGATTACAAACCATACATTAGATGATGATATTGTATCAGTGTTAAATGTCCTGGGTATGGTAATGGTATCATGGTTATTGAAGGAAGATGTCCTTGTTCTTGGGAAAAATACAGTTAAGTATTAAGGGGTAAAGTGTCATGATGTCTGCAAATAATTCAGCAAAAAAATAATATGTATTGGGGCACTTGGGTGGCTAACTCAGTTAAGCAGCCAGCTCTTGATTTCAGCTCAGGTCATGATCTCAGGGTCCTGGGATCCAGCCTCACGTCGGGCTCCACGATCTGTGGGGAGTCTGCTCAAGCATTCTCTCTCCCTCTGTCCCTCCACCCATTTGCTCTCTCTCTGAAATAAGTAAATAGATCTTTAAAAAAAAAAAAACAATATGTATCCACACAGAGCAAGATGAAGCAAGTGTGGCAAAAAATGTGAATAGTTAGGGGAGCTAGATGAAGGATGTATGGGTATTCAATGAATTCATCTTTTTAACTTTATTGTAGATTTGAAATTTATTTCTTTATTTGACAGAGAGAGAGAGAGCATGAGCAGGGGAAGGGGCAGAGGGAGAGGGAAAGGGAGAAACAGGCTCCACGCTAAGCAGAGAGCCCGAAGTGGGGCTCAATCCCAGGACCCCAAGATCACAACCTGAGCTGAAGGCAGATGCTCAACCAACTGAGCCACCCAGGCTCCTCCAAATTTTTATTGGGGTGCCTGGGTGGCTCAGTTGGTTAAGCATCTGCCTTCAGCTCAGGTCATGATCCCAGGATCCTGGGATCGAGCCCTGCCTTGGGCTCTGTGCTTAGCAAGGAGTCTGCTTCTCCCTCTCCCTCTCCCTCTGCCCCTTCCCCTGCTCATGCTCTCTCTCCCTCTCATTCTCTCTCAGACAAACAAATAAAATTTGGGGGCGCCTGGGTGGCTCAGTCAGTTGAGCGTCCAACTCTTGGTTTTGGCTCAGGTGATAGTCTCATGGGTCATGGGATCAAGCCCCACGTCAGACTCCATGCTCAGTGGGGAGTCTGCTGGAAGATTCTCTCCCTCTGCCCCTCCCTCCACTCTGTCTCTGTCTCTCTCTCTCTAAAATAAATAAATAAATCTTTTTAAAAAATAATAAAATAGAGGGCACATTCTGCATGGAGCACTGGGTGTTAAGCACAAATAATGAATCATGGAACACTACATCAAAAACTAATGATGTAATGTATGGTGATTAACATAACAATAAAAATTTTTTAAATAATAAAATATTAAAAAATAAATAATAAAATAAAACGTTGTAGAGTGGAAGACATGGTTCCCAGCCTCAGGGAATTCATATGCTCATTTGGGATGACTGAGGTCTTTTATGGACGTCTTAGTAACATATAAATAGCTGACATGTGTTGAACACTTAGGACCATTCTACACACGTAATATTTATTCATTGGATTGTCAAAACAACCTTACAGGGTAGGCATGATGGTCATCCCTATGTTATAGTTGAGGAAACCGAGGCTCAGAGAGGGGAACAGGACTTGTGCATGTCACACAGACAGTAAGTGCAAGAGCAGGATTTGAACCCAGATGGTGGCTCCAGATTCCTTGCTTTTAACCATTTGATTCTATGAAATTGTGGGCTTGTTAAGATTGGCAGCCTTGAGAAAAAGAGCAAGAGGGGGAGAGAGGGAGAGAAAAACTGGAGTCAGGGAAAAAGATAGTGACAGAGATGGGCAAAAGACAGAAACAGGTTTGTTTACCAAATGCAGGAATGTGGTAAATGAGACAACAGTAGGAAAAGAATGGACTTATCAATAACTGGAAAGTTGATTCTCTAAAAAAAATAGCATTTAAATGTCTTTTTGCCAAATTGAGAAGGGTCCGTCTCTCTGCTTTATTTGCATTCCTCTCAGTTCTTTTTATTTATTTAATTTTTTAAAAAGATTTTATTTATTTATTTGATGGAGAGAAAGAGAGAGCACAAGCAGGGGGAGCGGGAGAGGGAGAGGGAGAAGCAGGCTGCCCGCTGAGCAGAGAGCCCGATGCAGGACTCGATCCCAGGACCCCAGGATTGTGACCTGAGCCAAAGGCAGACGCTTAACCGACTGAGCCACCCATGCGTCCCTGCGTTCCCCTCAGTTCCTATGCAGTTGGGGTTTTCTTCATGTTTATTAGCTGTGCAGATCTGATTTCTTTACTGAAACAGTGCTACTGTGTCTATTTTGCAGGTGAGGAAACCAAGGCTTGGGGAATTAGTTAAGTGACTGAGCTAAGCACACAGGGCTACTCTGGCAGAAGTTCCTGTCTCTGGCTACCTGTCTTTGCCATTTGTCTGAATTGCTGGTCTTCTTACAGTTGATCTCTTTGTTAAAGCCAGACCAGTTCATGTTGTTTCAATCACATAGCTTTATGATAGGTTTTAATGTTTTCCTTTTTTTTTTTTAAAGATTTTATTTTATTTATTTAACTGACAGAGAGAGAGAGAGAGACAGCGAGAGAGGGAACATAAGCAGGGGGAGTGGGAGAGGGAGAAGCAAGCTCCCTGCTGAGCAGGGAGCCCGATGCGGGGCTCGATCCCACGACCCTGGGATCATGACCTGAGCCAAAGGCAGTCGCTTAACCAACTGAGCCACCCAGGCGCCCCTAATGTTTTCCTTTTTATTTTTATTTTTATTTTTTTAAAGATTTTATTTATTTGACAGAGAGACAGTGAGAGAGGGAACACAAGCAGGGGGAGTGGGAGAGGGAGAAGCAGGCTTCCCGCTGAGCAGGGAACCCGATATGGGGCTCGATCCCAGGACCCCAGGATCATGACCTGAGCAGAAGGTAGCCGCTTAACCGACTGAGCCACCCAGGCGCCCCTGTTTTCCTTTTTAAAAATTTTTCTTGGGCGCCTGGGTGGCTCAGTTGGTTGGGCAACTGCCTTCGGCTCAGGTCATGATCCTGGAGTCCCGGGATCGAGTCCCGCATCGGGCTCCCTGCTCAGCAGGGGGTCTGCTTCTCCCTCTGACCCTTCCCCTTCTCATGTGCTCTCTCTCATTCTCTCTCTCAAATAAATAAATAAAATCTTTTAAAAAAAATTTTTTTTTTCTTAAATATTCTTGTGCACTTACTGTTCTTTTCATCTAATAGAATTAGCTTATCAGTTCATTAAAATCCTAATGGGAATTTGATTTAAGTTGCATTTTTTAAAAGAAATTAATTTTTTAGTTACCTAGTAAATAAATTTTCCTTATGAAAAATGAAAACATTTCAAATAATGCTGAAGTCTCCTGGAACCACTGTGCCTAACCTTTTTTTTTTTTAAATTTATTTGTTTATTTGAGAGGGAGAGAGAGAGAGAGAGCGAGCAAGCAGGAGCCCGGGGAGAGGGGCAGAGGGAGAGGGAGAAGCAGCCTCCCTGCTGAGCAGAGAGCCTGATGCGGGGCTCAATCCCAGGACCCTGGGATCATGACCTGAGCCCAAGGCAGCTGCTTCACTGACTGAGCCACCCAGGCACCCTGCACTGTGCCTAATCTTGATCCCCTACTCTTTTGCCCTACAGGAACCACTTTGATTAGCTTGATGTGTAATTTTGCAGTTCCTTTACTTATTCGTACACGCACACATATTTATCCACACATAAACCTAAGTATATTTGTATTTGTATATATACACAAATGGTATGTGTTTAACATAAATGGTCTCAGACTCTATGTTTGTAAGTATCCAATAGATGTGGCTGTCATTATAAATATTATTAATGATGTTCTTGTGATCATGTTCATGACTGTGAAAGCAACAGGCATGTTGTGACAACGTGGACGGCCAGTCCCTCTTTCTGGGAAGAAGCCCGTTTCTGCCATCTCTACAGATGGAAGATCACCCAGCCTAGATCTTCAACCACTGTGTGCAGCTGGGATATGAATCCTCTCTCTGTCATATGTACTGCAAACATTTTTTCCCAGCTTATCATTTGTTTTATGACTTTGCTTACAGTGTCTTTTTTTTGTCCTACTGAAAACTATAATTTGTATGCAGTCTTATACATAATACCTATCTCTCCCTTTATGATTTCTGAGTATCTTCCCTTACTTTGGAACATCTTCCCCATCCCCGAGCTTATACAAATATTCTCCTACGTTTTCTTCTAATGTGCTTATTATTTTCTTTTTTTACATATAAATCTCTACGCTGTGAACATTGTGCTAAGTACACCTGGTTCTTTAAAAAAATGCCAGATAAACAGTTATGCCAGCATCATTTATTAAAGAACCACCATGTTTACACTGATTTGAAATGACACTTTTATCATAGACTGAGTTCCCGTGTGTACTTGGGATTTATTTCTGGGCTGTTTACCACATTCCACCGGTTGACTCCATTTGTCTATTGCTGTGCTAACACCATATTTTTATCACCGTGGTTTTGTGGTTAATTTTAATAAGGCAAGCATTGCCATCCTCCCACTGTTCTTTTCTTGGCTCTTTTTTTTCTTAACTGTTCTTAAATGTAAATTCTTCCATATGATCGTTAAGATAGTTTTTATCCAGTTCCAGGAAAAACCCCATTAGATTTCTGATTGGCATTGCACAGAATTTATGTATTAATTTAGGGTTTGGGAAGTTTGACAATTTTAGGAAAATGTAGTACGCATAGCATCTATTATGTAATACCACAAGTAGGGCCTGGGCGGCACCCCATAATGAGACATTTGGATGCTTCTCCAGGGAAATGTGTACGCATTCACGCTTAGTAGGTTATATAAAGACTTTATATAGTCTTATGGCAGTTCAGATCAGGCTTTGCCACTGGATGAGTTTGTGCTTATAGAAATCCTTTGCCCGTCCTATTAATGGGTTCTGTCTTTTTTTAATCAATATAGAATGTCTTTCTTTTCCTGTAATACTTTTGGCCTCAAGCGGTGGTCTTTCTGACATTCACATGGCTGTGCTTGCTTTCTGTTTGTTGATGTTTGCGGGGAATACCTTTAGGTTTCTTCAGCTTTCAGCCTTTCTTTGTCACTTAGTTTTAGATATGTCTCTCACAAAAACCCCATACCAGGATTTATGTTTTCTTAAGCAATTGACAGTGAAATCTTTTTCCCTCCAGTCTCTCCCACCCTCCCAGGCCCTTGAAATGGAAGCTTTAGAACACTTTTAATTCTTATTTTTACTCTGATCCCTAACCTTTAACTTCTGGGTTTTGGTTAGATAGTAATTTCTTTTTAAATTCCAGGCTGTCATATTTTCTTTATAGTAGTTCACTTATGTTTCAGGAATCCTACAAACTCCCAATCACAGTACCTTTGTCTTTCATGTGTAACTACACATATTAAAAACTTGTGGCCTGTTGCCATTTACCCTCCCTTTTGCCTTTCCCCACTTGGAGCCCTGGTAGTCATTCAGGAGTCATTTGCTTAGAGAACTTCTTGTTCTCCAACAAGGTGCATGGATTGGATGTACTCCAATGACCAAAAATGTCTTTCTTTGGCCATGATAGATATGTACTGTCTTGGCTGGGCGGGGGGGCTTGCGTCTCAAGGCTTTCTTAACAGTGCTCCATGGGCGTGGGAAGCCACTGTCTTCTTGCTTCCAGAGTTGAGGAACAGCACTACTTGCATCTTAAGTCTCCTGGACTTGTCTTCCGGGACTCTCTACATTTTCACTCAAATCATCAAGCTCTAGCTCTGCACCTTTTGAAGGGGTTCTTCTATTTGGTCTTTCAGACCATTAGTTTGACCTTCTTTCTTTTGCCTGTTAAGTGTTTTCATACTTTGTTTCCAAAGTATGTACTTTCTTTCCAAAGTACCACTCTGGCAGCTGTTGGGAGAGTGGAGAGGAGCAAAGAGGCAGTTTCAGGTGAGAGATGTGGTGGCTCAGACAGGTGACAAGGCAGAGATGAGAGAAGAGGTGGAATTGAAGTATGTTTTGCATGCAGAAGCCATGGGGCTTAGCGACAGTTTGGCCCTGGGAGTTGAGAGAGTGGGAGGCGGCAAGGATGTCTCTGAGGTTTCTGGCTCAAGCAAATGAACAGATAGAGGAGCAGAGGAGGAGGTCATGTCCAGAGTGGATCTTTGGCTCTCCTTTTGGACTCTGTAGGTTCTCAGTGCTCTATGAGACATCCAGGGAGAGGCAGTGACATCCACATATGGCCTAGGGTTTGCTCCCCACTCAGCTCTGTGGGAGAACGTACAGTGGACTCTATGGACAGGCTGCTTAGGGACAGCACTGGCCTGCAAATGATGATGGCTGAAACAAATCAAAGCTGATTTGTTTCATATAGTAGAGTTTGAAATCCACTGGACATTGCTGTTGTCAGCTTAGCAGCTCTGTGGCGCCGGGGCTGACATCTCTTAAGTCTCTCGAACTTCCCTGCATGTGGCCACTGCCACTGCGGCCATCACATCACAGTTGAGGCAAGAAGAAGGGCTGTGAGGGCAAGTGAGGGAGAGAAGGAAGGGAGAGACTTCTGCTGATGCTCCTAGGGCCAAAACTGCGTAGAGTCAGGAAAGCGCTATTTCCTCTGTGTAAAGATACACGAAATTGCTGTTCCACAAATACCTCTCCTTAAAATATGTCTGGGCTCTGGAGTAAGGTAAACAAGGTACAGATCTAGCCAGCCCTCCCATTTCCCAGCTGTAGAATCTTGGCTCATTGTTAATTGTCCCAACCTTTTTTATCATCATCTACAAAATGAGAATGATACAGTAATCTGTACCAACTGTGGGATGGAGACTAGCGTGAATATAAGATTAAGAGTTTGGGCTCTCGAGCTTTGGGCCTGGGCTTCAAATTTAGTTCTTTCACTTACTTAGCTGTGAGGCCTCAGGCAACTATCTCATTTTTTTTTTAAAGATTTTATTTATTTATTTGACAGAGAGAGACACAGCGAGAGAGGGAACACAAGCAGGGGGAGTGGGGGAGGGAGAAGCAGGCTTCCCACTGAGCAGGGAACCCGACGTGGGGCTCGATCCCAGGACCCTGGGACCATGACCTGAGCCGAAGGCAGACGTTCAACCACCGAACCATCCAGGTGCCCCAGGCAAGTATCTTATATTGACTGTGCCTATTTCCTCATAGAAAGAATGGTGTTAATAATAGTGCCTAACTGGGGGCGCCTGGCTGGCTCAGTCAGCGGAGCATGTGACTCTTGATATTGGGGTTGTGAGTTCAAGCCCCATGTTGGGTGTGGCAATTACTTAGACATAAAAATATTTATAATAGGGCGCCTGGGTGGCTCAGTTGGTTAAGCGACTGCCTTTGACTCAGGTCATGATCCTGGAGTCCCGGGATCGAGTCCCGCATCGGGCTCCCTGCTCGGTGGGAAGTCTGCTTCTCCCTCTGACCCTACCCCCTCTCATGGTCTCTCTTTATCTCATTCTCTCTCAAATAAATAAATAAAATCTTTATAAAAAATATTTGTAGTAATAATAATAGGGCGCCTGGGTGGCTCAGTCATTAAGCGTCTGCCTTCGGCTCAGATCATGATCCCAGGGTCCTGGGATTGAGCCCCGCATCGGGCTCCCTGCTCTGCGGGAAGCCTGCTTCTCCCTCTCCCTCTCCCCCTGCTTGTGTTCCCTCTCTCGCTGTGTCTCTCTCTGTCAAATAAATAATAAAATCTCTAAAAATAATAATCATAATAATAGTAGTAGTAGTAGTAGTAATGGTGCCGGATGCCTGGGTGGCTCAGTTGTTAAGCGTCTGCCCTCGGCTCAGATCATGATCCCAGGGTCCTGGGATTGAGCCCCGCATCGGGCTCCCTGCTCCGCGGGAAACCTGCTTCTCCCTCTCCCACTCCCTCTGCTTGTGTTCCCTCTCCCGCTGTCTCTCTCTGTCAAATAAATAAATAAAATAAAATAAAAAATAGTGCCCAACTTATAGAAAGGATGTGAATACGAAATGAGTCCGTATTTGCAAAGGGCTCAGAACACTTCCTGGTATAAAGTGAAGCCCCTGTCACAGTGCTTGGCACATAGTAAGTGCTCAATAACTATTACTTTATACCATTAAAGTACTGCTTAGAGTCTGCCGAGCCATTTTGTGGGACAGTTACCACAAAAGAATTAGTCACAGTTTTATGTTTTGCCTGATTTAGATGACATGGGAAGAGAGGGCGGGAGTCATTCATTGCCCCGGCGGGGGGGTGGGGAGTGGCCTGGCTTTGGTAGGAGAGGAACCCAGCTCTGAGGTGTGGGACTCTCACCCTGTTCTTGAATCGTGTCATTCTGTGTGCCTAGGCCCTCTGCTGGAAGACTGGGACATAATCAGCCCCAAGGATGTCATTGGTTCTGACGTGCTACTGGCTGAGAAAAGGTCATCGCTGACGACAGCTGCCCTGCCCTTCACGCAGTCTATCCTCTCTCAGGTGGCTTCAGGGACCCCTGTGGCCCACTGCAGGGGGAGGGCAGGCCTACCTGGCACCCCCGATTCTGAGCATGCTTGTCGGCACCTGCCCGTAGCCTGCCCAGCTGACTGGTGGCCTTTCTCCCTCCTTCTTTCACAGGTGGGCCGCACCTTGTCTAAGGTCCAACAGGTGCTAAGCTGGTCATATGGGGAAGATGTCAAGCCCTTCAAGCCTCCCCTGAGCGATGCCGAGTTTCACACATACCTGAACCACGAGGGCCAGCTCTCCCGCCCTGAGGAGTTGCGCCTGCGGATCTATCACGGTGGTGTGGAGCCCTCCCTGCGAAAGGTGAGCCGCCTCGGTCACTCATCGGATCCGTCACTCCTGCAATCCATGACTAGCTCACGAGACACAGGCAGTGGACCACGCTGTCACGGGATGGCGTGGCGCCATTCCAGGACAGCCAGCTCTCCTTTGGGAGGGGCTGGGAGGCAGAGGTGGGAAGGCCGACTTTTCCGAAGGAAGACAAAGGCCCCAAGGCAGCAGGGTGGGTGGCAACGGATAGCCACTGGGATGTGGTGGCTCATTTGTAGAAGCTCAGCCTTTTCCCTTTTGTCCGTGGCCAGGTGGTGTGGCGGTACCTGTTGAACGTCTACCCAGATGGGCTGACGGGCCGCGAGCGGATGGACTACATGAAACGCAAGAGTCGCGAGTATGAACAGCTCAAGAGTGAGTGGGCACAACGAGCGAGCCCTGAAGACTTGGAATTCATCCGCAGCACAGTCCTCAAGGATGTGCTGCGGACGGACCGGGCCCACCCCTACTATGCAGGGCCCGAGGACGGCCCACACCTGCGGGCGCTGCACGACTTGCTCACCACCTACGCCGTCACCCACCCGCAGGTGTCCTACTGCCAGGGCATGAGCGACCTCGCCTCGCCCATCCTTGCCGTCATGGACCACGAAGGCCATGCCTTCGTCTGCTTTTGTGGCATCATGAAGCGCCTGGCCGCGAACTTCCATCCTGATGGCCGCGCCATGGCCACCAAGTTTGCCCACCTCAAGCTGCTGCTACGACATGCCGACCCTGACTTCTACCAGTACCTACAAGAAGCCGGTGCCGACGACCTGTTCTTCTGCTACCGCTGGCTGCTGCTTGAACTCAAGCGCGAGTTCGCCTTTGACGATGCCCTCCGCATGCTCGAGGTCACCTGGAGTTCGCTGCCCCCCGATCCTCCTGAACATGAGGTAGAGCTCGTTGGACCCCCCAGCCAAGTGGCAGACCCTGGCTTCAGTGGCCACAGGGGGCGGCCCGTGAGACAGAGGCACATGCTGAGGCCTGCCGAGGGAGGGGGCAGTGCTTTCGAAGATGCTGTTGACCACTTGGTCACGACCAGCCAGGGGCCTGGTGGCGGGGGCCGTCTCCTGAGACAAGCCAGTCTGGATGACCTCCAGCAACTCAGGGATAACACAGGCTCCAGGAGGGACCCTCTGGTCCAGCTGCCCCACCCAGCTGCCCTCATCAGCTCCAAGTCCCTCTCCGAGCCCTTGTTGAACTCCTCAGACCCACTCTCCTCCTCTTCCCGCCCTGATTCCCCATCCTCCTCATCTCCGCCATCCACCCAAGAGGCCTCTCCCGCTGGTGATGTGGCTGCGGGATCCCCCTTGATGCCAGAGTTGGGCTCCCCACAAGAACCTGGAAAGTCCCTGCCACCCCCACCCCCACTGGGCTTGCCCCCACCCCAGGAATTTGGCCGAGGGAACCCATTTATGCTCTTCCTCTGCCTCGCCATCCTGCTGGAGCACCGCGACCACATCATGCGCAACGGGCTAGATTACAACGAGCTGGCCATGCACTTTGACCGCCTTGTGCGAAAACACCACCTGGGGCGCGTCCTTCGCCGGGCCAAGGCTCTCTTTGCTGATTACCTGCAGTCAGAGGTGTGGGACTCAGAGGAGGGGGCCGAGGCCACAGCCCCATCTTGATCAGGCTCCTTGCAGCCCACCATGAGCCCCACGTGCTCTCTGTTCTTTACCATGGGGGCCTATACATGAGACCCCAGCTCCCTGCCTGCCAGCCTTCAACCTGCTGGAGTGCAGGCCCCTTTCTCCCCAGGTCTGAGAGTATGGGGCTCTGCCTTGGCACTGCCCCATGGAGGCCATGGCCGCCTTTCTCAGTTTATGTTGTATCGTTTTTAACAACTGGACTTTGCACACATGAAGGTCACTGTGGTCTGTGTATTTCTCTGCCCTCTCTCTGGTTTTTGTTATAGACGGAGTCCCCAGGGCTCCTGCCCTGAGGGAGCGGAAACACCTCACATGGTGGAGGGTGGCCCCCGCTTCCCCAGTGGCAGGAGAGTGGGTGCTGAGAATTGGTTCTAGAAGGTGAGCCCAGGTCGAGGACTGCTTGGGGAGGCCTGAGGCCGTTTTGTGGTACATCTGTCTGCCGGTAAGGGTCTGGATTATGGCTGTGAATGTACGTTTTCAGGACAGGTCCCCAAATGAGGCATGAGAGAGGGAGTTCCTGACTCCAAAAGGACAAGTCTCATTACACAGACAGGCTACTTAGAAATGTTGGGCCAGCCACTTCTGCCATTCCACGTGTCACCATTTCTAGGATCCAGACCCTCCCCTGTGAGTCTCATGCACTAATGCTGGCGGTCCTGGGCAGGGGTCTGAGGCGCCTATTCTTATCACTGCTTTGGGACCAGTTCGAGGGTCAGTGGCCTTGCCATGTCTAGGGCTCTAAGCCCTAACTTGGGTCTGCAGCTCATGAGGGCCTGTCTTAACCATGTTAGCAACAGAAACCATTCCTTAGCCTTCTCCATCCCACTTATGTTGGCACACAAATCAAGCACTGATAAAACTCAGGCCCTAAAAGATGTCACCTACTTACTGGGAAGATAATGATCAAAAGAAGACCCTTTTCCCCACTTACCTTCTCAGAAGGTAGATTCTTCCATGGGCCAGGTGCTGTTCTCCACAAAGGACGTGGCAGATGATGGGTTAGGTAACTGGGTTCCTTCAGGCTATGGCCTGGCTATGGCAGGTTCTGGCCAGAAGTCGCTGCTGCACTAGGCACAGAGATGAGAGGCATTGGGGCAGCCATCCTCTCATCTGTCTCCCCCAAGAATGCCATATGAAGCTGGAGAGAAACCCTTAAAAGGTTCCCATCATGCCCCAGTTTTTAGAGGGGAAGCTGACCACTCTTCCGATGAGGGCTCGCTTCGCTGGAAGAGCAGGACAAGACCATCCTGTGTCCAGGGTACTCCAAGACTACAGGTCTAATGAGTATGGAAAGGTGCTCAGACACACACATCCCATCCAAGGGCCATCCAAGATACGAGGGTATCTGGCCCTCTGAGGACCTGAACTGGCCCCTTTATCAGGCACCAGCTGATACCCTCTGGGTGCATTCTGTGATTGATGAGCTCAGATATTTGAGGGGCCAGACACGTCAATTCTGTGTATGGCAGCTTGGGACCTCTGAGGGTCAGAGGAGTCCTTTCTGTGAATAGGAAGCTCAGAGACACTGAAGGGCAGAAACCTCTTATTAGTCCCCGAGAATACTTGGGGCTTCTAGTTCCTGCCATAGTGGCAAACAGCACAAGGCACCGATTCCCTTGCCCAAAAGTAACCCGGGAGAAACTACAGAGGGAAATGTGAGTTCCAGAAACTGCAGCACAGCTATGTAGACCTATGGGAAAATGGAAGGCTGTCTCTAAGTGGCCTACGTTTTGAGTGGCAATGGCTGAAGGCAGCAAATACAGGATAGGTTTACATTCCGGCTCTTAACCTCTCCCCCATGTTGTGTTGGGAAGGTCCTTGTCTGCCCCTCACTGCAGACATCATCCAAACCACTTACAGTTGTCGGAGGGGGGGACTACTATCAGGGCAGCAAGAACCCTGTTGAGGGGAGGAAATGAGCAGCCATAGGCCATCATTCTCCCACCTGTCCCCCTCCAGACACCAGGGCTGGTGGTGACACTTAGGGAGATGGCCTCCTCTTGGAGTTTAAAGATGAAACTCCTATCAGAGGACCTGCCAAGCGGTGCGCCAGCAGATGAGTGGTAGCTGTCCTGTGGTGCGCGGGGCTGCCCACCCTCTGGTTCATCTCCCCACCCGTCTCTTTACACTTTGAACTCCTGGGGGTTGAGCAGAGTCCAGTCTGGCCTTCAGCCTTCCCTCAATACATTGTACGTGCCACAATAGCTGCTCCCATCCGGGGAACTTGAGCTCACCACTGAAACGACTAGACACCGGGGCAGCAAAACCGCCTCCAGAGAAAATTAAACTGGAGGTATTAGTTATCTACTGCTGTATAACAAATGACCCCCAAATTTGGCAGCTTAAAACAACAAACATTTATTTTCTCAGTTTCTGGAGTGTCAGGAATCTGGGTGCTACTCAGCTGGGTGGTTTTGACTCAGTCTCATCTGAGGTTTCAGGCAAGTTGTCAGGACTGAAGACATGACCACTTGACTAAAGGACCCACCTCCAACATGGCCCACTCAGGAGGCTGTCGGGAGAAGGCTTCAGTTTTTCACCACCTGAGCCTCTCCACGGAGCTCCTCACAACACATGGTCCCAACAAGCAGGCAGGAGACCATGAGCAAGACGGAACTGTAGTGTCTGTTATAACTTAACCTCAGAAATGACATACCATCACTACTGCTATATTTCCTTGGTCACACCGACCAACCCTAGGACATGGGAAGGAACTACACAGGACGTGAATACCAGCAGGCACGGATCATTGGGTGCTATATTGGAGGCTGGCTACCATACCGGTGACGTATAATATCCAAAGCAGAAGTATTGGGACACACGTAAAGAATTTTAAGTAAATACAATAAGTAAGAGATAAAAGTAGAATATAAAACCGGAACAAGTGATATAAAAGGGACCTAAAGAAAATATTAGGTGTGACTATGAAAGGAAAAAAGGGAACAGAAAAGTACTATAAATGGAGAATATGAAATGGGATGTCAGAAGTTTTACTATAAATAGCAATCACAAAAATATTTAGAACGGGGTGGGGGGATGGGTTAGCCTGGTGATGGGTATTAAGGAGGGCACATATTGAATGGAGCACTGGGTGTTATATGCAAACAGTGAATCATGGAACACGACATCAAAAAAAAAAATTTGGAACACCGAGACCCTCATTGGATTAAAAAAAAAGGTCCAACAACACCCACACAAAGATTGGTAAATGCTGAAAATCAAAGGATGGGGGCGCCTGGGTGGCTCAGATGGTTGAGCGTCTGCCTTCGGCTCAGGTCATGATCCTAGGGTCCTAGGATCGAGTCCCCCATCGGGCTCCCTGCTAGGCAGGGAGCCTGCTTCTCCCTCTGCCTCTGCCTCTCTCTCTCTCTCTCTCTCTCTGACTCTCATGAATAAATAAATAAAACATTTAAAAAAATAAAAAAAATAAAAGAAAATGAAAGGATGAAGAGAGGATAGAGCACGTTAATAAAAGCCCAAAGAAAGCTGGGATAGCCATCCCAATAGTTAACAATAAAATTTAAGATCACAAAAGACAAAGAAGAACATACACTCATTGACAGGAAGATACATCTACCACAAACACATATACACCTAAGGAGCACTGAACAATAAATTTTTTTAAGATTTTTTTTATTAGTGCACAAGTGGGGGCGGGCAGAGGCAGAGGGAGAAGCAGGAAGCAGACTTCCTGCTGAGCACTGAACCTGACACAGGTTCGATCCCAGGACCCTGGGATCATGACCTGAGCCAAAGGCAGACACTTAACCGACTGAGCCACCCAAGCGCCCATGAACAATACATTTTTTTTTTTTAATGCCCAGTTGAGCCTGGGGAAAATCCCATCTTTTTTTTTTTTTTTAAAGATTTTATTTATTTATTTGAGACAGAGAGAATGAGAGACAGAGAGCATGAGAGGGAGGAGGGTCAGAGGGAGAAGCAGACTCCCCGCCGAGCAGGGAGCCCGATGCGGGACTCGATCCCGGGACTCCAGGATCATGACCTGAGCCGAAGGCAGTCGCTTAACCAACTGAGCCACCCAGGCGCCCCGAACAATACATTTTTAAGCTTGATATTTTATATATATATGTATAATATATATATTATACATAATATATATGATTTATATATTAACATATATATAAGAACACATTCCTGTATAACCCACACTTAACATACGGAGAAGACTACTTTTTTTTTTAAAGATTTTATTTATTTGACAGAGAGAGAGATAGCAAGAGCAGGAACACAAGCAAGGGGAGTGGGAGACGGAGAAGCAGGCTTCCCGCAAAGCAGGGAGCCTGATGCGGGGCTCGATCTCAGGACCCTGGGATCATGACCTGAGCCGAAGGCAGACGCTTAACGACTGAGCCACCCAGGCGCCCCTGGAGAAGACTACTTTTATGTTTACACTTAAACAATTACAAAAATAGACCACGTTAGGGCACTAACACCTGGATGAATTCAAAAGTATCAATATTAAGCATTATCTCTGACCATAATACAATGAAATTAGCACAGCAAAAAGCTAAAAAAAAACCCACCATCTTTGGAAACTAACATTACTAAATAACCCTTAGATGAAAGAACAAATCATAAAGGAACTTTAGAAATATTTACAACTAGGCAGCATCTGGGTGGCTCAGTTGGTTCGGCAACCGACTCTTGGTTTTGGCTCAGGTCATGATCTCAGGGTTGTGGGAACAAGCGTGTCCAGCTCTGAGGTGAGCACTAAGTCCGCTTGAGATTCTCTCCCTTTCCCTCTGCCCCTCCCCCTGCTCGCACTCTCTTTCTCTCTCTCTAAAATAAAATAAATAGGGGCATCTGGGTGGCTCAGTCAGTTGAGCATCTGCCTTCAGCTCGGGTCATGATCTTGGGGGTCCTCCAATCGAGCCCCGCATTGGGCTCCCTGCTCGGTGGGGAGTCTGCTTCTCCCTCTCCCTCTGCCTCTGCCCTGCTCACGCACTCACTCACTCTCAAACAAATCTAAATAATTAATTAATTAATTAATTAAAATATTAAAAAAAGAAAGGGGGCCCTGGGTGGTGCAGCCGGTTAAGCATCTGACTCTTGGTTTCAGCTCAGGTCATGATCTCAGGGTCTTGAGATCAAGTCCTGAGTAGGGCTCCGAGCTCAGCAAGAAGTCTGCTAAAGTTTTTCTCTCCCTCTGCCCCTCCCTGTGTTCGTTCTCTTCCTCTGTCTCTCAAATAAATAA